TATAAATGTATACCTTATATCAAATATATCTCTCCAAAAGGCATCAGAAGAAGCTTAAGTCTTTAATTCATATAGAAATATAATGTAAAATAAAAATTTATGAAATGGCTAATCTCAGAAATTCTAGATTGTTTCGTACTTCCACTCAAGTTGAGAAACAAAGGAAGGGTACGCCTGGGGATTTAAAGTTCAGTAAAACGCAGTTGAAAAATAAAATAGAAAAACTTGAGACGGTGGTTTTCTACCCTTTATAGCTAGCAGCTTTAGAAGCTAGAACACTACCATTTATTGTAAAAGGGACATTGACAGGAGGTGCACCATCTGGAGCTGCAAAAGATGTAGAGAATGTCGCTGGAAAAGGCGTTAGAATAGATGGAAAGCTTAAGATGGAAGAGTTGTTAGGATAATTGGTTAAAAAACAAATAAAGACCCCAAGTTCCAATGGTAATATTATGTTATTAAAACAGAAACCAAAATTTAGTGGTGTATTTCCACAAAAAAAAAAACATCTGCCCAAACAAATGAACACGATTTAAGTTATAAATAATGATAAATCTCCATTCTCTGGATTACATTCGGTTTGTTATTTTAAGGTCCAAAATATGTCAACTTCTTTTGCAGCTATAGAAATATTAACATATCTGGAAACAAGTAATCAAAACATACTCATCTCAGATTCAAAGTTTTAAATCCTTTTTATGTGGTGACTTTAGTATTCAATATAATTTAAATCACCTAGAAGGTAAAATTTATTTGAACAACAGCTTTCATCAGATCCAAAACATAATGATAATCAGTTGATTGATGAATGTTTTATTTTGTCACCGTGAAAAACCATCGATTTTTTATCGTACGAATAAATTGAGGAACTGGAGAATAAAGTATTCGTATTCAAAAAATCATAGCAATATTATCAAAATTTAAGTGGGATTCTAACATTCACTAAGATTGTCTGTTCAGTAAGTGGGTTAAGTGCGTTTGTATCCAACCGCCTAGCGGGCTTGACTTTTAAGTATTTTACTGCTGGATGCAATTGAACAAATTCCAAATGTTCACGAAATAAAATAATCATTTGATTTCCTACAAGTTCTATAAACAACCACCGAACTTATCAAAAACAAATAAAAATTTTGAAGTTGAGGTTAGAAATAGCAAAGATGACTTCATATATTCAACCAAATATCTTGCTCAGTAGAAATATATTAAAATGCAAAAATTGAACGGTTATAAATTTGTTTCAAAATATATGCTCTAAGAAAATATTCATTATGACCCCGAAAGGGGGTTATCGGGAATAAAATATCTTTAAAAAAATCCAATGAGACTTTCAAAGAAATAACTTTTTTTTGAGAAACATAATATATATACAAAATTTCAACCGATAAGAAAATAATTGGGAAGACATAGAATAATTTTACAAGGAATAGATGACCAATGTCAAGTTAGGTTTGTTGAAGTCATTATAATTACATGAACAAAACGAAGATTATAACTATCTTCTAACATGTAAAGATATATTATCCAAGTATTTCTGGGTAATACCCCTAAAGAACACAACAAGTGAACAAAAACTCAAGCCTTCCTTGAATATTTTAGTTAAAGAAAATACCCCCAAAGATACAAACAGATCAAGGACTAGTGCTTTATAATCGTGAAGCATTGAGATTGTCCGAGGATAAAAAAAATTCAAATTTTATTACTTACTCAGAACTTAAAGTGTCTGTTGTCGAAATGTTTAATAGAACAATAAAAAAATAGAGGACTCTTAGCGCGTGAAATATCCCCGCTTGGTTTGATGTTTCGCATGAAGTGGTTAAAACTACAACACCTCTTCTCATAGATCAATTAAAATTACTTCAATTGAAGCCTCATTAAAAGAGAACGAAGAGTTTGCCAAAAAATTGTGTATCCTCCCGAAAAGTAAGAAGCCGAAATTCAAAGTTGGTGGTACTGCGAGATTACGAAATTATAAAGGGTTTTTGAAGAGGGTTACATGGAAAGCTATATGGCTAAAGAGTTTAAAATCAAAGGAGTTTTAAGTGATGGCGCTCTGTATTACCATTTAGTTGACACGAAAGGAGAGGATGTACTGGGGACGATTTATGAACAACACATGGTGAAATACGTTCCAACCGGGAGATTTTGGTATATTGTTTTCATGTTATTTCTTGAAGGTCAATTTTTAAGGTCGAATCAATGGGGGGTGGTTCAAAACTCTCGTTTATTATTCTACTTATATGCCCGTCCGGAGTGGTCATTTTTTAAAACGTTATGTGTGAACGTTCTGCTGCACAACCAGCAGAAATATCGTTGCCTCTACATAGACAGCTAAAACGTTCGCTGAATGTGCACTCAGCAGGCCAGTGTTAGTGTAAAATATCAAAGCGCAGTTCTTTACCAGTAAAAAATGAGAACAAAATACTTGCTAAGCTCAATGTTGGGCCCGTTCGCGGACGGTCGAGTGGCCGACGCTATCTATATAGGCTCTCCAAGCGACGCTATTTACTTGTGGCGCCATTTCAAGTTTTTTCGCTCGCAATATTTTACGGGAAGAAGACTGCGCCTTGAGAGTTCACATGGTAGAACTGACCTGCTGAATACACATCCGGTGAAAGTTTGAGTTTCTTATTTGCATGCGCCAATTTTTTCGGCTCGTTTTACTCCGGAAAGTCCGCTTGCGACACCTGAACCTTAACTTAGCTACTAATATTAGAACATTTTAGAATGGCGTACCCAAAAGCTTTGTGTAAAAAAAATTAGTGTCATCACCACGGCGCATACACCGGGCCCAAACTACGTTTTCAATAGGCGCATGGCGACGACGCTCTCTGTTTGTGGTGGGGTGGGGGGTGGGTCACACGAAGCTTTTGGGTGTGGCAATCTGAAACTCAGGATTAGGACACGTAAATTAATTCTGAAATCTATTGTCTTGGAAAATGTAAGTTGTTCTTAGTAATATTAGTTGGTAATTAGTTTACCTGTAAGTTATAAAAACTCCTAAGCGCATGGGCAATTATCTGCGAATTTCGCAGGCCCGTATTGCATAGTTGATCTTTTCCTAATGTTTAATTTACGCGCAAGTATTTATACTAAACTGTTCTGCAAAAAATGGCTTCCAAACATTTCAATTCCGTTTCTCAAATTCCAACTGAGTTTATTTTTGTCTATACAATTGTACAGGCGACGGAGGCGTGGGCAAAAAGACAAGGTATTTTGGCTTGACGGGGCCCAACCGAGAAAAACATGTTTTTGTTTCCACATATGTTACATTATATAGGCCGCAATTCCCATGAAAAAAACACATTTGCTTCATTAAATTATTGAGAAATATGATACAGTCCCTCTAGGAGGCCCTCTTTTAAGTATGCACGGAGCATTGCGCTGCGTGGTGTAAACATCACCCGATGTGTACCGTTACAAACGTAAGAAGCATCACTTGAGCTGCAGCGCAACACTGGTCGAAGGACTTTACCGAGCTTTCCACTTCTTCGCCTTTCATCTTTTGACACAACCACCCATTGTTCTGCCCTCGCCACGCACACGGGGACAAAGCAGAAGCCTCCGTAACATCGACCGTTCCCATGCTTCGTTTTATTTTACGACTGTCCTGAGAAGATGCTAGGAGCCATCCAAGTCAACTAATTGCCGTGATGGTGTGACGTCACCTTTAGGAGGGGCGAGTGACGTGTTATCACCAGATACGTTAGATTGTTTGAGATGGCTCGTGACGTCTGCAACAGTCAACAGTATTTGAAAAAGGAGTATAGCAACGGCCTAAAGAATTTAAACAATTTCTCAGCAGACTACCCAAATTAGAGTACTATCCTGGGAGGGTACCGCATTAACGTACAATCAACCAAGTACAGCACTGAACGCGCCACAGAGTTCACTAATTTTAAATAATATAAACTAAGTAACCTGAAAAGAAAAAAAAAAACTCCGTGTTTTTTGTTTCTTTATATTCTAGTGCTTCAGGGTGTCTGAACGATAATACGACCAAGTACGGCCACGGTGGCGTGCCGTGCTCGCGTATTGCTAGTCGCTAAGACAGAAACCCTAAAACGACAATTGAGTGCAACATCGACCTGGCTAGACCTTTCCTTTTTTTTAAAAAAAACTTAACTATGTGATGCAACATGTTTTGCATTGTATTTGGAATGAACGGTTTTTAAGGGCTGATCGAGTAAAGTGTGGAAGAAAATCTAGGATACATATTGTTTTAAAATTGCCGCACAGATATTTTCACTTTTTTACTTTTTTATTATTAGATAATATTCGGGCCCTTAACAAGAAACACTTACAATATTAGAACGAAATGAGTTTGTTCCTAAAAGTACACAAAGCTTGAAAGACTGTATACAATTAATGCATAGTTGCGAGAGAGCTTAACGAGATTAACCTCGCCCTATACAAAACGTTTCAGCTCAAAAATTTAATTTTACGATATGTACAAAATTCGCTGAAAAATGCCCTAATTCAAAGGAGTTGCTGAAGGGGCCAAAGTTGCCCTTTTATTTATTTTTAATATAATCTTATATAAAATAAACTTGACTAATTCCAGTAGACCAGTTGGCGTGCGTTATACATTAAAATGTTTATGCCCCAGAAACTTTTATTCATGATTTTTGTAACCTTAAGTTTGCGTTAGTGCGCCATTGGGAAAGTCATTGTTTCCACCTCCTCTCAGATGCGATTTTCGCTCATAAAAACAAATAAGTATTTTGCAAAACTATTTTGTTGTTTTGTGGGGTCGTATTTTTCTACCTCATCGAAACTTTTAATCGAAAATATTAAATAGACATGAGAAACCAATGACTGTCCTTGTATATGTACAAATAGGTCTGCGTTCTAGCCTTGAACACGTGACGGAATGAGCGTGACGTATCCTCCTTACGAAAGTTAGTGGTTTTCAGTGAGGACAGATAAAAATTTATAAACTTTTCAACAGATCGAACAGAAATACTAGAAGTTCATCCCAAATTAATTTTATTTCTGAGCAGGTATTACACCATCCTTCAAGGAGCACCTCAGAGATTTCGTGCGGGGAGTACTTTCTCCCAGTAAACTCGTCGTCAAGACTGTGTATGGAAAGTTCCTCACTGCCTCGGCACTGTGCAAGTTTGTTGAGGTATGTCTATTTTCGTTATATACCTGCTTTTTGCGAAAAAGCGATTGCTAATTTAATTTCTTGGGTGGAAAAAATTCAGCTCGAGGTAATATTATCCTGCAACAATTTTGTCCCGGGCACACAAATGTAATATTATTTAGTGGTTGTTAATGCTCTACAAAAAAAAAGAACAAGACAAAATAATTGAGCTTGCTTTGTTTGCGTTATCTGTGTCGCGTAGCGTACATAGGATGGCAAGTAAACAGAGTGCAGATAACATAAACATAATGACGACAAAGTCCAAGATAGCTACTGGCCGCGTCTTTTCTTACTTCAAACGATGAGCTACCTTGGTTGTGGGCGTCCACTTTAACCAACACCTGATCGGGCCCCGCCTCGACCGTCCCAAAGGAGATCTCACAACGCAAGGTACGAAGTATTTTCTCTCTCGCAGTTGGATCATCTGGAGACAGCGCTTTGTCTTTCCGCCGTTCTGTCCAACCGTCTTTGACCTCGTCGTTCGAGCATGTTCCTATCCTCGTCTTCTCTCTTGGCCCTCACGTGCCCATGTCCGGCCCCCTCGTAGGCACAGACAGCACCCTCCCCCCGCCCTTTGCATGTGGGACTCCGGGGGGCTTGAGGACCGGGACTCTTCTGAGCCTTCGAATAGGAATTCGCTGGGTTCGAACACGTGCGCGCTCTCGACGGCTACTAGCGTAGCGATGGTCGTGGCGCAAGCCGCAGGCGGACGTCGACGGGGGCTGAGCTTCGACGGCTGTGGGGCCTTCGACGGCATTCGTGGCGGCGGCGTGTACCACAGGAGGCTGTATAAGGCCCCAGGCCTCAGGTGTGGGCAGGTCCGGCCTGTCTCGTCGGAGGAGCTGAACTGCGGCCTCTACGTTCTCAGTGGGAGAAAACGTCCTGAGCCGCTGCTGGTACCCATTCCGGTCTCGTGTGCTGTCTTTGGATATACAAAGGGATGCCGCACAGCAAGCAGCTGTTCTCATGGTCCAGAGGGCGCGACCAGAGGGGGTAGTGCGTGCCCTCGGAAGGGCGGCTGCATGGTTTCTGTGCCAGGCTGCCCTGAGTCTGGCCTCTGTTGGTATGTTCACCGCCGTCGAGGAATGAAGTGGACTGCACCCAGTCTCTCGGACGCCGTCCTCGTCGCCACAGCGTGGCAGGAGGTCTACTCCGAGTTATAAGTGACATTATAAGAGTTCAGTGGAAACTACTCTTACCACTATCAAGTTCAGCGGAGCGAATGCTGGAGCCTCTTGCACACTGCACACTGCACTGAATGTCGTCTTGTTTCAAGCGTTCGCTCTGCTCAAGTGGAAAAGGGTGGAAGGTGTTTCCCCTGAACCTTAAACCACTCACCGACCATAGTCCCCCGCTACGGACGGGGCTGACCCGTTCAGCGGAAGGTTCGCTACGGCGGGGACAGATGAACCTTTTCCCGCCAGGCTCGGTAGGGGGTTCTCTCGATAGTTACCGACTCCAATACCTTGCCTCGTCCGGGGTGGTCGCGTTTACTTTAGGGTTAGGTGCCCGGCGAGGCGGCCCACCGGAATCCAGGATGGCCGCTTTGGCTGACCAGGGAGGCCGTGGCGTCTATGCTCTGCCACGGTGGGCCCCCCTCGTAGTGGGGTTGTCCATGGGCGGCGCCACGTCGAGCTCCTCCAAGTGGTAGACCCAGGTGGACATTACTTGTGATATAATTACTGCTAAGCATGTACAGAATCATTGCATTCTGCGCCATTCACTTTCTTGAAGGACCGAGCTGCTGTCACCTTTCCCACGCCAGCTGACCACCGCGTTCGCTCCGCGGTCGGCGCAGTGTGCAAGAGGCAGTTGGTGCCGGAAGCGTTCCATCTCCTCCCGTAGTGTCTCGTTCTATGTCGTCCTTGTCGCCAAGAAAATACTCCTCGAAATCGGTGACATTAACATGCTCAGATTGCTCGCGGTTGTACTGAGCCGAGCGAGTCCGTAGGCAAGACGCGACACTTGCGTCGTTACCTCGTAGGGCCCTAGCCCTTCCCTTTTCGGAGCCATAGCGAGCAATGAAACAGCAAGCTGCGCTGGTAAGTGGATAGCTTTCGTCATAAGACCAGGTTCCCGACATTGAATTACAGTTGACCATGACTCTTACCGCAACGCGCGGCCTGCTTGATTCTTGCGGAAGTGACTGCTTTCGACAGTGGTCCGGTGATATTCCAGACGACCACCGCAAATGGACAGCGACACATCATCGGCTTCATAAAACTCGGAGGCTTTCCCACTCTCGGCTTTTCTTTCCGGCAAGCCGGGCATCCTGGAGTATACCACAATTCGTCTCGAGTCATCGCCGGCCAGGTCACGGTGCAACATAACTTATAAAAAGTGTGTCTGCCACTCCCTTGACCAACCAGAGCGGAGTCGTGCAAGTAGTTGATAAACCTTTGAACTAGGACGCTAAAGGGAAGCTACTTGCCTTCTCTTCAAAGTTCGCACTTTTCCTGGACTGCTGTGTCTTGGTCAGGCGAAATGTACTGAGCTGGTTCTTCTCCACCGAGCCTCGCTTTTACAAGGAAATGACTGGTGCAAGGTTTGAAAAGGGAAGGACGTCCGTTTTAAAGCGCATTTATTTTGAACCTGCTGACACTGTCCGGCTGGCATATGCCACAGACGCAGACATCTCCCGCTATCACCGGTCGGAGCCAAAGGGTGCATCAGTATGTCCATTCCATTCTTTGTTCAACTTGTAAACTCTCAATATATCTCTTCCAAACAGAAGCAGGATACAGGCGTTTGGATAATAGCATGCAGCCAGGTATCGCAAACTCGTTTTTTGTTTTTGTTTTACAGTATCTGGTATCTCTCTATCCGAGAAGGGAGAGGTGGTTTCATGCAGCCATCAATATTCTCGACAAACGAAAGCCAAAAGGTCTTCTGCCGGTCATTTCTGCTCTTCCGGCGCACGTCCAAAGAGTATATAAACAACTGCTGCCTTAATAATAAAAAACAGGTCTAAGTTTTTGACAGTGGTCTGTTAGTTTGGTCATCCAGGACGGCATAAATTCCCTCAGAGATTTGAGGTTGACTTGTATTAGCTCACCAAGCAGACCTTTGAGCAAGAGTTCCCACTCTAACCATAACCGCACACCTCTGTGCACTTAGAAGACACTTCAAGTGGTGGCTGGTGGTCCACCTTGCCGTCTACAGAGCCTTGTCTGGAGGTCGATGACAAAAGTTTGAACCTGCCCGAATGAAGTGCTGTGAGATGTCTGTTGCTGTCACAGTGAGCACACTTGCTCACAAGTTTGCAGTTCCTTGGGAAGTGACTTGTACAAGCAGCATCTGAAGGAGATTTCAAACTCTTTAAGGAGAGTCGCGCGTTCAATTAGTGGTTTTTTTCTGAACCGATGGTACTTCCTGAAAGGGTGAGATTTGTTGTGCAGAAGGCACAACCTGTTTATCTGGTGATTCTCCGTCCTCTTGGTCGAGGATGACGCAGAATGTTTGTCTGTTCTTAAAGTCACGTCGGTGGCATGGGATGCGGCGGACGTGCTGCGGGCCTTTCATTCTTCGGGAACTTCAGATAGGCCCTACCCGTTGTACCGAGAGCGAAGCTTCGGTCGTTTCTTGTCCTGGCCTCGTGTCGGACAAACTTTGAAAAGAAAGAAAAGGTCTCAATGGTGACGTCGTCGTCTTCCTTGTACTTTGAGCCCTGCAGATCGACATTTCCAGCAGACGGTGAGGCAGCTTCTCCACGATGGGATTCACGTCCCGTGTTGTGTCTAAGTTGCTGAGTTCCGCTCAGTGGGGATCGTCTTTTGCTGCCCCTAGTTTGAGAAACAGGTCTTCCAGCTCCTCCAACTGGTGAGAATTTTTTTCCGCAAACTTCGGAAAGCTTTCGACTCGTTTGAAGAGTGCGGATTGATTATCTCTGGTGTGCAGTAGAAATGATCTAGCCTTTCCCAAAGTGTTTTCAAGCCAGCCGAGGGAGTGTCCACATTTACAAATCGTGCCTTCTAGTGTTGACTGATGACTCGGTGCCAAGCCACTTGATGAGCGTATCGGGTTCTTCACCTGCTGTGACTTTAAGGGTATGCACTATTCCATCGAAGGTGACTTTACGCGCTCCGTACTTTTCCGGACGGTCGTCGAATATGTTGAGCTCTGTACTGACCAGGTCTCTTCGAACCAAAAACTGTGCCAATCCACTCAAATATGAAGCTCCGGTTGCTGCACGGGCGGGATCTTGTGGACGGCGACTTGTTAAAGCACGCAGTTCCTGGTCCGCTGAGCTTGACAACTCTCCCAATGCCCCGGGGGGGGGGGGGGGGGGGGGGGGGGCGGACATCCGCCATTGCCCCCGGATTGCCACGACAGGAGGCAATCCGTTACCGAAGATGCCGACAGCTCGTCCTTAAGCCGCCCTCGGGCGCCGGCGTCTGGTGGCATTTAAGTCCTCACATCTTCCAATCGTAAAATGTCGTACCCGCTTAATATTCCTGAAATTGAAACTGAGCCAAATTCACGAATTTCCGTGACCGCAGAAATACAATCGTTTACAGCGCAACAAAAATTGAGGTCTCTGAACCTTTGTTTTATGTTCTTTTCGAAGAAAAGAATGCGGAACGAAGGACTAAAAGAATACACGTGAAAGGGAAGCAGACTGCGGCGGGGCATCAAAGTTGAGCTTCCGGTTGAGGTTGGAAGGACAATGTTCGACCCTCTTTAAAAGAAGCAAACGGTGAAAATGAAGATGATTCACCGAGGACCATGACTATTCAGCTCTGCTGTGCGTGTCCGGAACACCTCGGTATTCTCGGACAAACCTTCTATCAGCAAAAAAAAAAAAAAAAACAGCTTAGAATGACATCCCTTAGCGAAAACTAATACGTTTGAAATATACCATATTCTATTTTGAGTGTATTTGAAATACAATTCATAATTGTAAGTACACGAAAAATATACCGAAAATATAAACTTCTTTTTTTGTTACTTAGTACTAAAATATACTTCTAAAAATCATTTTAAAATACCTTTATTTAAACTACATTTGAAGTTCCCTTCATGCGTTTTGAAAT